CCTCAGTTTTACATCATCCACATGTAGGGCAGGCAATCAAGAATGTTTGCAGAAAACTTGACTTTGGAGGAAAACCAAGGAGTTTGATATATGTCTAACTCCTGCTGGCAAGGTTAGAAAGAAGACGAAAGTAGGCTAGAAGAGGAGCGGTAGTAATCCTACCCAGATCAAATCATTTCCAACATTTCCTCTGACTAAAGCATCACTTCTCCCCTACCACTACGGCTTTAATGCCTCAGTGAAACAGGGCTCCAACACCAGGTGAAAAGTAAATCTAGGGTTTCTTTAAATTACACATCGTACCTTTGCTTGAGGAAGGATCAGCTTTTCGTGCCGTGTGTTCTTAGTATGAGTATTCTTTACTAGCAGGTGCTTACGTAAGGTAGATGGATGGAGTCCTTATAGGTTTGGTCGAGACCTGTAGTCACTTCGTTTCTAAACATTCTTATGCTCTCTTGGGTTGAGTCTCACCTTCCTCTGGGAACATGTGCTCCAGCACTTTGTCATGTTCTTGAGGGACCTGTTTGGAAAGCTGAGTCCAGACAGTGCAGCGAGCAGGCAGTGAGCTAACATTAGCTGGGGGATGACATAGACCAGCATCTCCCAGCATGTCACACTGTAATTAGCACTTTTGCCTGCACAGGAAAACAAGTTTGTGAAACCAGGTAGACTCCCATGTAATAAGCAGTCAGCAAGGAGTCATCACTTAGCACCACTTCTGTTCATTTGTAGGCCAAGGTAGGTCTGTTGCTGGCCTCCACTGTCTCCTCCTCTGCTGTCCTGCTGAACCTAAGATGAAGTCTGGGGAACACCCCTTCTCATTAAAGGTTCGTGGGGTAAAAGTGAGGCTAATATCACAGGAATGAGTGCCTCCTGTTCCAGGCAGCTTAATGCACTTCTGAAGAAGAAACGCAAGCAGGCTGACTCAGGTGCCAGGCTTCAGTGCAGAGCGGGGTTGGACCCTTGCAGTAACTCTCATTTTTAAACATTACTCTGCTGAGAAATCTGTGTCTTTGCCAATTTAGTATAGTGATCAAGGAGGAAAAATGCAAGTACTTTATGTGGAAAAACAGATGACATGAGCGTATTTCTTAATACAAAGTGCAAGGCTTTCTGGAATCCAGTACAGAGCTATCAATAATGCCATTAAAACTGCTTACCTGCTTTACATGACTGATTTTAATTCATGGATCTTCATTCAAGTAAAGTTATTTAACTGCAGGCTGTCTTACACCACACAGACCTGTGCATTATCGATTGTTTTCAAATGTAATCTATAATTCCAGATGGATTGTGGGCCAATGTAAATTTAGTCACATTTTTAATTGACTCTATTAAGGTGTGACTAAGACTTGAAAGCTTTGCCGCGGCTCCAAAGTAGCTGGTACTTGCGCTGAACCAGTCGGACATAGTATTATGTGACATCTAAAATAGCAAACTTTTTCTCCCAAATGTAAAGATAAGCAATTACCTGTATTTCTGACCAATTTTACAAGGGGGCTAGTTTACCTCCTACTAGCATTGGCAAGTGCAAGATCACTTTTTCTATAACAGTTCTCAAAGCACAGGGGGAAAGACACCAGCCACTTTTCTCACCTGAGGTGGGGGAAATACATTCCAGCACCATTACCTAGTATTTGGCAGAGTCTGTGTTATTTCAGTACTAGCAAGGTTTAGAGTGAAAAATGCCAACTACTTTTTTTGTGCTTTTGAAACCTAAGGCTTTCAGTAATATGTACATAGAGAACCTTACGCAGAAGGCTTTATATGAAGAGACTGAAAAGCTTGTGAGAACAGAGAACACACACTCAGAAACAGGACCTACCTGGCTGCTTTGTCAGAAGCGTAGGTTAAGTGCAGTGGATGATTCCTTGGTTTGACTTGACCATGTGTGTGTTTCCAGAACAGACACTGTCGGGGGATGGGAAGAGGAGAAATAGGTAGCCTTGCTGCTTAGTGGGGAGGGGTGTGATCTAGAAGGTTACTTTATCCAGTGCTGTCCAATACAGTAACTGCTACAAGGGCGGGTCCTAATGGAAATGTGCAAGTAAGAGTAAAAACCACACTGGGTTTCAAAGATGTGTGAAAAAAATGCAAAGCATCTTGAATAACTATAGATAAAGCACATGTGCTAGTATTGGGACACACTGTGATTTCATCTTCTTTTGAAATGCGGCTACTCAAATTGCCTGTTTCTAGTAGGCAGCATCACTTTTTCTTTACGTGATTGGCTAGTAGGTTATACTTACTTGCATTTTCAAATATTTTCCAAAGTCAGAATATACTGGAGGAAAAAAATGTATCATGGATTTTGGAGTTTACCCAGCATATGTCCTCCTTTGGGCAACTAATCTCTTCTCAGCCTTAACTTCCTCATCTGTAACATGAAGATAATATTTTTATCTCAGCAGGTTGTTGTTAGGAGTGAGAAATACATGGAAATGAGCAGAGTGCTCTGTGCAGAACCTGACCCAGAGAAAACTCAGTAAATACTCAGTTTTAGACAGCTCATGAACTGGTACCTCATCTTTTAATCCCTGACCATTCCTAACTCAGCTCTTGGCCTCTTATTTTCCCACAGAAACTTACTATCCTCTGTACCTATTTCTACAGTCAAAGCCACGTGTTCCCTTTTCCTCACCTTTGGAGACTCCTGGGTCTGGTTCCCATTTTCTGCTAATTATTTAGAAAAGGTGCTTTCCACTCATTTCAATTTAGAAGAAAAAAAATCTGTCCTCACTCATATTATTAACCAAAACTCTTCATTTCCTGGTCCCTTGCCTCATGCCTGGTATGTTGGATCTTGCTTTTTGTCACCAAACCTGCATCTTTTATTGAGATGGTTAATTAAAGAAAACAGATGCCAGGCAAGGGTATGCAAAACCTACAAGAGTAGGTTTTGTGCAAATAAGATAGAAAGAAAGAGAACAACACAGAAGCAGAGCAATTTTCTAATTCCTCCTTGCCCACAATCCTGCCTTCCTTTTTGCACTGGTTTTAAGCTGTGCTAATGTTCTACCTGTGGTTAGAACAAGGTTGTTCCTGTTCCCTTTCTAGTTCCTTGCTGCCAGAAGTACAACCTCCCATGGTGCAGTATAGCACACATCTAAAACCTTGTGCTGAATTTCTATATTCTAGGAAATAAGTTCTCAGATGAAGATGGTTATACTTGTTCTCTGAAATTCAATGGCAGGGAAGAGAAAATTGAAAACCCAGAAAAGACAAGGAGTTTGCTTAGGTAGGGTGAGCTTCTTCCTGCCTTCACAATTAATGCGACAAACCTTTCAGTCAGACCTGCATGAGATAAAAACGAGAACTATCTTACGAACATACTTGGAATAGCACAGGTGGCTGGAAACAACTGTACAACTCAGACCAATGAAAAATACACAATTTCCCACCTAACAACTTTGTTTTAAATCAGTAAATTGTTCATTTTTGCTCCTATAACTAGATGACTTAGAATACACTCTTGACCTGAAGTGATTTCTTTTGCCTTTTCATCAGCTCAATGTGGTACTTTCCCTATTTTTACATTTATTGAAAGCTCTCAGTGTAGTAAACTGGTTTGTATTTCAAGAGGTTGGGGTTTGACAGGAGAAATACTTGGAAATTAACAAGGAAGTAGACTTTTCAAGTCTCTTTGTTGACTGATAGCTGGGCTTTATGGAGGATTTACTGTTGGAACTGGGTGGTTTTAGTGCAGAGACCATACCTGGTGGCCCCTACACTACCAGGCAAGGTATGCTCAGGTGAGTGCCTGTGGAAGCACTAACCCTGTATGTGTAAACATGGCTGTCTTTCCCAGAGCATATATTAATACAGTATTTACAATCAAATTAGAGGCAGGAAGGGATCACTGCCAACAATCATTTCATTGTGGTTTCCTAGAAAGTTAGAAGGTTTGAAAATGTGAATCAACTTTCCTATGACATTATCATTCAAATTTAAGAGAGGGAAACATTTCTACAAATCCAACACAGGCCTGCCAGATAGCAGCTATTCACCTAGGAACTTACGTTCTGGAATCTTCGCTCTGGGAGAAAAGAGAGCAAAGGCTCTCCAAATTTCTGATCTTTCTTTTCTTGCTTTTAATCCTGCAGATGAAACATGATACCAGTAGCATCACTAGTCTGAGAGCTATGCAGCATCTTTTCTTTCTGCCTGAGGTTACAGAAATAGTAATGGTTGTAAAAGTTGGAAAGCAGATACATGGGCATGCAAGCATGTGCTTACAGTCAACTTCTGATCTGCTCAGGGCACCACTGAGTGCTTATCGCTTCAGAGCCTGGTCTTTCACAGGCTGCAAAAGCAGTGAGCGTGGTACTTGGCTAAACTTGGAGTTTTATATCAAGATAACTCTTTTTCCTCATGAGGGAGGAAGACATAGCTCTAAAAACATTTGAAGAGAAATGGAAGTGCTGCTTCAGATATGCGCATTATAATTCTAGGTGTGCATACCTAGTAAATCAGTCCCCAAACATTCTTGGTGAGAGGTTGTTCCTGATTCTGCTACCCCTGAAAGTGAATGAAAAATCAGTCACGTAATAATATGCTGCTTTGCTACCAAAGAGACACCACTTCCATTTGAATTCAACGTATCACTGGGACTTATTTATGGGGACAGTCTCTAAAATACAAATACTGTTTTATCTCATATGGCTATACTGTATTTCTTTAACACAAAAGCACAAAAATCAGATTTATGCAGTTCATAAAATGCTTCCTGGATAAAGTGAAAACTTTTTTTTTTTAAATTAACAGGCAGCAACAGGTATAAATAAACTGTCTAAAGCATTTAATGATCTTTAACCACAGTTAACTCCCCTGGCCTTGAAACAGCACTAAATTCTTCTTTGCTAGTAGCAAAAAAAGCTGTCAGGGAGGACACTGAAAAAGCGGCACCATTTCCCAGCCAGTGAGCACAGAACAGAGGGGCTGAGTATTTTATGGTTTTGTCGTTGTTCTCATGCTGTCCCCCCTTCTCCTTGCCTGTACAGGGCTGATTGTTGTGACGCTGGCTGTCTGCTGGATGCCTAACCAGGCCCGGAGGATCATGGCTGCAGCCAAACCCAAGAGCGACTGGACCAAGTCCTACTTCAAGGCGTACATGCTCCTCCTCCCCTTCTCCGACACGTTCTTCTACCTCAGCTCGGTTATCAACCCGCTGCTGTACAACGTGTCCTCGCGGCAGTTCCGCAGTGTGTTCATGCAGGTGCTGTGCTGCCGCCTGACGCTGCAACACGCCAACCACGAGAAGCAGCTGCGCGCCACCTCCCTGGGGAACAGTGCCCGCTCCATGCGCCGCCCGCTGCTCTTCATGGCTTCCCGGCGCAATTCCTCTGCAAGGAGAACTAACAAGATTTTCCTAAGCACTTTTCAGGGTGAGGCCAAGCCCGAGTCTCAGCCCCAGCCACTGAATCCCGAGCCACCAGCACCCAACATGGAGGTGAAACTACAGAATTGTTCTCAGGAGCTTGACGTGTGAATGTCAAGTGGGGTCACCTGGACAGCTAACTGCTCTCCCCACCAAGAAAGAAACCTCACCCTCACACAGCACTGACCAGAGACTGCACCCCCATCAAAGATAGGCATGATACTACATTGGGGCCTTGGAAAAAGTCTGACACCCACTGAAATGGATTTCGTGACTGACTCCAAGCCCAGCGTGGCCTTGACTGGTTACAGACATGGGGACGATTTTCTCTCCACCACCTGCCTATGCTGAAAATCCAGAATTACAAAATGTCACAGAGCTCTTCCGTTATCTGCAAAAGAACTAAAGGAGAACACAGACTCCCCGCCCTACCCAGAATCAAAGCACACCCAGGAGAGTCGCAGGGAGTGAGGCCAGAAGAACAACACAGAAAGTGCTGGCTTTAGCATCAGCTTCAGCACTGGGCCAACCAGACAGCTACTTTGAGGAGTAGGATGGTGATGAAGAACCCGGGCTGAGGGGCTGAGGCTGAACTGCTCCTTTTCTTGGGCCGGGGCCCATTGCAAAGTGGGGTGTTGCAGCAGCTGATGCACACTGAGTTCAGTTTCCCTGGGGAGCAGAAGGACTGGTACCCAGCTGAGGCGATGAGGCAGGCTGCAGACGATGCACATGACTTGCGGTACATGATCCCTGCAACACAGACCCAAGGGAGCTGGGTTAAGCAGCGCTGGCCAAATGACAGTGGCCTTCTGAGCCTAAACCCCAACAGACAGTGCCTTCCACAGCCTACACTGATGGGGCCAGTGTGGTATTTAAGGAAACACCACCCTGCACATAGCAGCTTTATGGGGTGAAGGAGGCAATCCTTTCTCTAGTTTCAAAAAAATTATCCTCAGTTATTTTACATGCTAATGCCAGTGAATAAAAAGCTATTCAAAAGAATTTTATTATTGTAGTTTATACTGTATGTCAGGTATTTTTTTCCCCTATTCAGGTAGTTTATGCTTTAAACTAGCTACCGCCAGAGAGGATCACAAGCTGCACCTATAGACGTTATTTGTAAGCAACTAGACACAGGGCTTTTGACAATTAAATCTATTGATTGGGTTGCCTGGCTGATAGTAAGCCCAGAACAGTCCTCTTAGGGAAGTTTTGTCCTTAAAATGTATGGTTACCTGCCGAGTTGGCGCTTACTGACTTGCTGTGAGGTAGAAGTGAGGGTACATCTAAATTGCAGCATAGTCATCAATTATTTTTCTCTAAAGTTGGAAGTTTACCTAATTCAATGATAGCAAAGCTTATGTAAGTGTGTGTCCTGCATGCCAAACACCGCATAAATGACCACTGTGAACACTGTAGCTATTTCCTACCATCCCAACCATGCATGGGAGATCCCTGTGATCACCTTGGCTCACAGATGAGTCTAAGAGCAAAAGAGATTTAGCAAGTTGCTCAATATCACAAGACTAAGAAGTGGAGCATCTGGGATCTGGCCTACAAATTTGGCTCCATTGTCAAGTTTATCACCATCTTGCAAAGCAGATAGCCAGCTGATATTTGTGGTTATTGAAGATAGTTTTCAGGGTTTATGTGGTAGTTTTGTTTCTATGATTTAGGTTTATTGTCCTGAATAGTGTGGACATCCACCAAGGCTCCTAACCAAGACTCCTTGCCAGGATGGTTCTGGGTCCTTTCAGTCCCTCTTGAGAACTGCCACTCTATGGGTGCTAGAGAAACAAGATGCCTAAAATTTCCAACTAGGAAGGAATACTTAGATTCACACCAAAACAAGCACTTTTAGAAATTTTTTCCCAATTACTGCACATTTGTAAGATTGGTATTCTAATATTACCAGAAGATTATGGATGGTCACTTTTCTGGTAAGACAAAGCCCATGAATCTGGACAGAGGATCTGAGGAGGAGGAGGTACTATTCAATTCCTGAGGAATATATGGCAGGGTATTGCCCACTCCATAAATTTTCCATAGTCTTTTTTTTTATTTATTGCCCATTTTAGGAAATTATGAACTTTTATCTTTGAATATTAAAACTACCTGTCATTTGCCTGTTCAACATTATGAACTTAAGTGAATTTTAATAATTCAAATATATGTTACTGATACTTTACTGAAAGAAAAGTTGAAAATCCCCCTGGCATAAAAAGTAAATCTTGACCAGTGTTACTAAAACAATAGTACCAACTTTGTAGGTCAAGGGGCCAGTGAATGTACCAAACAGAACCCCCATCTGTCTATTTACTAAGACCATCACACATTGAGTCAAAAACCATTTTTCTTCATCAGTGAAATGGGTGTGGTTCAGGCTGCATATCTGTGGTCAGGTGAACTTCCTCAAGGTGGTGGTTTGTGAACTGACACCACAAAGATACTCTTTGTAGGGAAATTCTAAGAGCCTCAGGAGAAAAGAAGGGGCTGATGTTAGAGACTTGTGCTGATTTGTAACTATCCCTGTCCAGGGTATAAAAAGCAGGTCCAGGGTAATCCATGTGTGAGCCTTGAAGCTCAGGGCATCCTAAAAGCTTCTCTTGACTGTGAAATCCAACCCGTGGAAACTAGAGGTGCTATGGGTAGGAGGGTATGAGTTCAAACTAAATGAAAGGAAGCATGGACCCAGCAGACAGCTCAATAAAAGTTAGCAAGCTGCTGGTGTTAGAATATGGAGGCTTTGGAGATAATCAGGAAGAACAAAGAAAATAACCTAGTACCGAACTGGAGGCAGAAGCAACAGGGAGAAATTACTAAGAGTAACAGGGAAATGCAAAGTTAAAAAGGGGCTTGGATTTGGAGAGGGGAGGTGGGGATCAGGTTGTGGGCCATCCCTGATCCTTAGTGCTTTGAGCCTATAGAAGGAATTGGTGCAAAAAGAATAAAAATTTGACATTAGTTAACAATCTAAGGAAGGCAAGACTCAGTGAAAGTCATGAAGAAAACGTGGACATTGCTTCTGGCCACATACATACATACGGATTATGGCAAGGAAAAAATGAGTCACTAAGGTGTTTTGACAGTGGGTATACTACTACTACTATGGCAATAATACCTGAAGGTGGGAGGGCTCTTATATTCCCCAAGCACAAATAGCTATGAAAACCACAATTATCTTAAAAAAAAAAAAAGAAAAGAAATCCACTTGCTCATCCGAATTCCATCAAATAGTCAAATAGCACAAAATCTAAACCCTTCCAAAGATTAAGGAGAAACAATGTAAGATTTGCCATCCAGATAACCTTGATGTCAAAACCTGATGCAAATATTACAGACCTATTTCTCATGAACAAAGTTGCAAAGCAGTAAAAGTTTTATATATATATATAATATATATATACTTATATATATATATAAAATACATACATATATATATAAAATACATCATGAGATGAGGTTTATCTTAAAATGGCAAGAGTATCATGAGTAATGTAATACATCATATTAATAGAAAGGACAAAAAAGCCAAGAAATTGGTAAATTTAGACTTCACTATAATTTTTAAAAACTTGAAGAAATTAGGAAGCCTAAACAACTCTCATTCTGATAGTTATGTTCAAGTATCTTCATTATTCCTACTGAGTAATGAAAAAGCAATGGCTTCCCACCTGAAATTTTGTTAGATGCATTTTACCATTACCATTTCTATTCAATATGGCAAGATTTAGTATAACTAGTTAAAAGGATTCTTAAACAAAATTCACTATTAGTTGATGATACTAATTAAGAAGAAAGTCCTAAAGTTTCACAATTCACTGGATCCATAATTAATACAATCAACTGTCACAGCAATGAAGTTCCACCACACCTATTTCAGCAACACAGAATGCTGGTAGGCTGTGGAGCAACAGGAATTCATTCATTGCTGGTATGTGAAATGGTACAGCTGCTTTGAAAGACGGTCTTATAATTTCTTAAAAACTAAACATACTTTTCCCATATAATCCAGCAATTACACCCCTTGGTTGAGTTCAACTCTGTATGAGTTGAAACCTACATCCAAATAAAAACCTACACACAAAAGTTTAAAGCATTTTTTTTCATAACTACCAAAAGCTATAAGCAACCAAGATTTCCTCTAGTAAATGAATAAAGAAACTATAGCACAACTATACAGGGAATAGTCTTATTTTTTAAAAATGGGCTATTGAACCATGAAATAAGTGATATGGAGGAACCCTAGATACATGTTACTAAGTGAAAGAAGTCAAATCTGCCAAGCCTACATAACATATGACTGCAACTACAAGACACTGTAAAAAGGCAAAACTATGTAGACAGTAAATAGCTAGGGGAAGAAAGAGATGAATAGGTGAACACAAAGAATAAAAAATACATATAGGAAAGAGCTAGAGAAATGAGTCCTTTGGCATGGCAAATACCTCTATGTTAACTGATGACTCTAAGCTGTCATAGAGGAATTCTGCATTAAGTTCTACCAGCACCTAGATCATGAAACCCCTTGTAGCAAAGTTAAGGGAAGAGCCATCTTTGTCATCATCAGCTCTCAAAAATCAAAAAATAGTCCCAGCACAGCAAACCATTCCTGTTTTGTGTTTACTGAAGAAACCTCTGTGTTAACAAACCCTTGCTAAGTAGTGGAGGAAATTCACATGCACTTGTATGTTCTGGTGTCCACCTTCTGCCTGCTACACTGTTAATGTATAAACTTTGACTTGGGCACTTTTGCACAGTAGAGTACCATGAGATGGATGGCACACTTATTCATCTCTCCAGCATTGCCATTTACAATACATAGGGAAGACTATAACCACATCTGGAAAAGGTGGACCACCTATGGCTCTACCTGCAAAGTGCTCAAAGGGAAAGGTGACCAGCAAACTGTTCAAGGAGATCCACTGGACAGTGGTTGAAGGGTATGGCTCTGACCATGTAGGACGACAAACACTGCTGTGAGTGCTGTGGTTATGACATTATAGACAAGCTGGCTGGGTTAACAGGTCCACACCTCTTAACTCCAGTACCTCTCATCAAATACTTATTAACCTAATTAATGATACCTTGATATTTCAGTCCGAAATGGTGAAATTTCAGCCTCTAAATTGAATAAGTCACCCTCAACTGTATGGTGATAGCTACTAGAGCTGAGAGGTGACCCAGAGTGCTACAAGGGTCCAGAAAAATACAATGGAGAGATGTGAAGATAACTGTTTTCACAACCTTGAAGTGACCACCAGTGAGAGCAAAAAACTCCAGCCAGGTTCCTACCAACCTATTCAATGCACTAGGGCCCTTATGAACACCTATTTTAGAATTTGTTTTTAGAGTCCCTCCTTCAACCTTTCCTAAGTCCTGGAAATAAAGGCACTTTCTTTAGGGGGAACATATTTGAAGTGGTTTTGACACACTGAAAGTCCTTTTATTCTTCTTTTTGATTGAAATCAAAATGGTGGAGTTGTTCTAATAAGACTGCATCTGAAAGACATCTGAGCTCATGACAAGACTAAGAAATGCTGTGATTTATAACCTGCAAAGAAATGACACTTGTACTTTTGGGTTCTTTGATACAGAAGCTCTTCCAATAATTGAAAGACACTGTTAAAAGAAATAAAGACACAGAAATGGAAAGCCATTCCGTACTCATGAATTGCAAGAATTAACATAGTTATCTTACCCAAAGCAATATACAAATTTAATGCAATCTTGTCAAAATTCCAATAGCT